TTAAAAATGCTCATCAATCTCCAATTTAATTTACTGAGTGTTGCCAAGATATAGGACTGACGTAATATTGCAGTATTGTTAAATTCAGCATTAGCAATGAATAATAAAATTCTGAAGTAATTAGCCATCTAAGCTGCTAGACCATACAAACCTGCAAGTACCCATGTATGCTGCCCATGTGACAGGCTTGATTTAAAAAATTTAAAGGGATTGTGTTTTTGAACTGATCAAGGCCCCGTTGTGCTGTGAGATAATTATCTTCACCATCTGCTACATTACCTATTTTAGTGTCATCTGCAAACTTGCTAACCATACGTCCAGCATCTCCTCTTTTGTAATGTGAGCTATCTTCAAGACATCACTAGTTATTTCCCTAACTTCCATGTCCTTCTCCACAGTAAATACTAACAAAAAATATTTGTTTAGTATGTCGCTCATTCCCTGTGGTTCCACCTGCCCTCCCTTATTTCCCAACAGAAGGTGAAGTATTGCTCCTTCTTCAGTTGAGGTGTCCACATATTGAATAAGAAAGTTTTCTTGTACACGCTTAACAAATTCCTCCGTCCAAACCCTTATAATCAAGGCTGATCATCCTGTTCACTATCTGTTCTTGCTTTCGCCCTATACCCTTTGCCCTGGAACTATATCTAACTCCTTAAAAACATTTAATATTTGGCCTCAACTATTTTCGGTGGCAGAGAATTATGCAGGTTCACCACTCTATGAAGAAATTTCTCAACTCAGCCCTAGTTGACCTATCCCATATCCTTGGGCTGTGACCCCTGGTTCTGGATTCCCTGGCTTACACCTTGATTCTAATCATGTATATGTTCGAAGTTGAACATATGAAAAAGTACAGCACAGGAACAGGACCTTCAGCCCTCCAAGCCTGTGCTGACCATCATGCCCTAATTAATCTTAAAAAGAAACCTGCCATTTTTCGATCTGTATCCCTCTATTCCCTCCCTATTCATGTACCCATCTAGGTGCCTCTTAAATGACTTCAGTGTGCCTGCTTCCAGTACCTCTTCTGGTAGTGCATTCCAGGCTGCTACCACTCTGTGTGAAAAACTTTTCTCGCACATGTCCCTTAAACTTTCCCCCTCTGACTTTAAACCCATGCACCCTTGTGATTGAAACTTTAACCCTAGGAAAAAGCCTCTGACTATCCACCCTAACTATGCCTCTCATAATTTTGTAGACCTCCATCAGGTCTTCTCTCAGCTGCCATCTTTCCAGGGAAAACAATCCTAGTCTTTTTAACCTTTCTTCATAATCAATGCCCTGGAGACCAGGCAACATCCTGGTGAACCTCCTCTGTACTCTCCCCAAAGCTTCCACATCCTTCTGGTAGTATGGTAACCAAAACTGCACACAGTACGCCAAATATGGCCTAACAAGGGTTTTATATAGCTGCAACATGTTTTGCCAACTCCTGTACTCCATGCCCCAGGCGATGAAGGCAAGCATGCCATCTGCCTTCTCAATCACCTTGGCTACCTGTGTTGCCACTTTAAGGGAACTGTGGACCTGCACGCCCAGATCCGTCTGACTGTTAGTGTTCCTAAGTGTTCTGCCATTTACAATATAATTCACACTTAAATCCTCCAAAATGCATCACCTCGCATTTGTCTGGATTAAACTCCATCTGCCATTTCTGTGCCAAAGTCGTCAATCTATCTATATCCTGTCCTATACTTTCACAATTGTTGGCACTAACAGCAACCCCATCAATCTTCGTGTCATCAGCAAACTTGCTTATCAGACCACCCATATTTTCCTCCAGATCACTTTTATATATACTACAAACAACAGAGGACCTAAGACCCTGTGGACCACCACTAGTTACTGGTCTCCAATCTGAAAAACATTCTTCTTTTCTGATGAAGGGTCTAGGCCCGAAACGTCAGCCTCTCTGCTCCTATGATGCTGCTTGGCCTGCTGTGTTCATCCAGCCCTGCACCTGGTTGTCTCGCATTCTTCCACCACTACCCTCTGTTTTCTATGACCAAATCAGTTTTGTATCCATCCAGCCAGGGCACCCTGGTTAGTTATTACATTTATGCAAAAATCTTGTAAATGATCTGTATATATTATATACTACCTCCAGTACCAAAAATACAAGAGGATACTGGATTCAAATGCCATGACGGGCAAGAAATGCCAAGAAGAATTTCATACGCATCTCAACGGCACATACAGTTAACTTCAAGGTGGGGGGCAGAGGAGACACAAAACTAGGACATTTAAGACTCTGCTGCAAGTGAGGTGGCCACTTAATCAGTGGATGAGAAAGGATATGCCAAATAGCCTACCTCATCCATAGCTATCTTGTAAGCAGACTTTCAGCAAAAGCAGTTATCGTTCACAGCGTCCAGAATGGTGTGAAGGTATACTGGAAGTGATGGGTCAAGCATAGACTGGGGTGACCAAGCTCTCCATGGAGCAGTAGTATAAAGGATATATTTGTGAAGGAAACTTGCACCATTGTTGAACATATGAGTTGTTTGGATGAATTAATGTTGCGTTTTGTTTGAATTTAGACCATAAGACATAGGAACAGGAATTAGGCCATTCGGCCCATCAAGTCTGCTCTGCCATTCAATCATAGCTGATAAGTTTATCAAACCTATTCTTCTGCTTTTTCCCCATAACCCTTGATCCCCTTGACAATCAAGAACCTATCTATCTCAGTCTTAAATGTACTCAATGACCTGGACTCCACAGCCTTCTGTGGCAATGAATTCCATAGATTCACCACTCTCTGGCTGAACAAGTTTCTCCTTATCTCCGTTCTAGAGGGTCTTCCCTTTACTCTAAGGCTGTGCCCTCGGATCCTAGTTTCTCCTACCACTGGTAACATCTTCCCAACATCCATTCTGACAAAGCCATTCAGTATTCTGTAAGTTTAATATAGACCCAGAGTCCTCAAAAGTTCCTCATATGTTAAGCTTTTCATTGCAGGGACTATTCTCATGAACCTCCTCTGAACCCGCTCCAGGGCCAGTACATATTTCCTTGAGATATGGGGCCTAAAACTGCATACAATAGTCCAAATATGGCCTGACCAGAGTCTTATAGAGCCTTAGAAGTACATTCCTGCTTTTATATTCAAGTCCTCGCAAAAATAACTGCCAAAGTTACATTTGCCTTCCTAACTACTGACTCAACCTGCAAGTTTCCCTTGAGAGAATCCTGAACTAGAACTCCCAAGTTTCTTTGCACATCAGACTTCTGAATTTTCTCCCCATTTAGGAAATAGTCATGCTTCTATTCTTCTTACCAGAGTGCATGACCTCACACTTTCCCACGTGTACTCAATGATTTTTTGGTGGGAAGCTGATGATCGGTTGAATCTATCTCTTCGATGAGTTGGGTGATAGGTTCCCACTAAATTGTGCCTGGTCTGAGAAAGATGACCCTATTTTCTCTGCTTTCTCATCTCCGTAATTTTCCTTTTCCAGATTGCGAAATGGAGTTAAATTCTGTAAAGTGCAGAAGTTACCAGAGGTAAACATTTTCAATCATTTTGTGTTTCCATTTTTAAAACTTAGCTAAGTAATCCTTTTGAGATTTCAGTACAATAATTGAGAACCCTGAGCTGTTGTTCCTCCTTTATCCTTCAACAATAGACTAATCTGTGTGATTTCTTTGCCAATTATATAATTGCGGGGATGTATCTGAATTAAAGGGAACACAGTAAGCATTATCCTGCTGATGTACAGGATTGAAATAACACTCACTATTGTTCTATTGACCAGAAAATTCAATGATCAGTCATGGATCCCAGATAATTTTCCAGACAGGCAGTAATGTATATTTTTGCTGACAGATGATGGAGGACAACAAGCATTCAGAGTTTCTACTTTTTTTTATCCTCATGGATTCCTCTCAAGATGGATGAGCTGGTAGGATTCCTCCTAGTGAACCTGCCTGCCATGAATTCAGTTGATTAGGTGATGCCATTAAGGTTTTGGAGTAGATCTGTAGCTCGGGTTGTGGGTGTTGAGGTTGGTTGGCTCACCGAGCTGGTTTGTTGTTTTGTAGATGTTTTGTTACCATGCTTGGTAACATCCTCGGTGCAGCCTCCAATGAAGCATCGGTGTGTTTTCCCGCCTGGTTTTTTAATGGTTAGGTGGTGCCATTCTTCTTGGGTCAGAAGTTACATTTTGAAACCCCATTCCAGTCCTTGGACATATAAGCTGAGGCCATTTATCTTATTGCTGTCCGTGGAATCTTGTTTTGCATAGAATATCTGCCATACTTGCTGATATAAATCACACCATTTTAAACTGATTGTGTGTATGTCAAGCGCATCAGAGATCTAATAGCATTGTTGTAATTGATGTATTTTATTGTAGATTTTGTGCATTCACTTGAAGAGATTCCGACATGAGCTCATGTTTTCCACCAAAATCAACAGCCATGTGTCATTCCCTTTAGAAGGTCTTGATCTTCAACCTTTCCTCGCAAAAGACAGCTCTCCTCAAATTACAATTTATAATCTCTTATCGGTTATCTGCCATCATGGTACTGCCAGTTGTGAGTATCACCAGCATCCCTTATTGTAATATTGTAGTTCCTTTTAATAGTGATCAAGCTGCTGCTTTGTTGTCAAGCATATCACAACAAGTTTTTTGTTAATTAAAGGCTGTGTATTTTGCTTCAGATGGAGTCCAAACCTGAGACCCCATCTGAGTATTCTAGTAATTCAATTGGGATATCAAGTCCCATTTCACTATTGGAAGAGAAAGGAGTTCTGATGTTGTATGGCTAATAATTTGACCCATTAACTTCAAGATTGATGATCTCTACCATTCATGTTGCATTAAGGTGGTTTTTTTTTAGCTTAATCTGTTACATTAATGCTATTCTGCAGGTTTTCTTCACCTGATTACAATTTGCTTAGACTAACAAACAATGTTTTGTGTTTCTGTTATTTACCTCCCTAGTGATAATTATTAGTGATTGTCTCACTACTCAGCAAGGTCTCTGCAAATTGGCTGTCGTGTTTCACACATTTCAACAGCAGCTATGCTTCAAAGAGGTTTTGAATGTTAAATGGTCATGTGGTTTATGTCTGCAAGTCATTTTTGTTGTGATGTAGTAAAACATGTTTATAGTTCTGCAGAAATTCCAGAACTAGTTTTGCCCATTTTGTCTGCGATGCCCTCAATTTTAAATGTTGTGGCACCTGTCCCAATATTGGTAAATAATTATATATTCATTTGATGCCTCTTCCAACTTCTCCCTTGAACAACTTCTAATGACTGTTAGATTTTGCTGTTCAGTGGAAATGTTCTGTTGCTCCTTAACCACTTTAAGCTTTTAATTGTTTTAATCCCCTCATCTCGTTCCTGGTGGAAAAAGCCCTGAGATATTTTGTATCTCTCTTCATAACAATTTAATCTTTGCTGTTTTCCTGAACTCTGACCCTTTATAATGTATGCAGTAGTTTAATCAGTCCTATATTTAAACTCAATATCACCACCTGTGTATTATATTCAGTATCTCTCGTTTGTATAAAGCAGAGTCCTAGATTCTTTTATTTTGTGATGCTTTTCAACTTTACCCGAGTTATTCAAAAACTGTATCATTCAGTGCAGTGTTATCTAACAAATTAAAACAAAAAGATGACATGGGTGGTGGGTTAGAATGAGGTTAGGAGGGCCCTAAATCTTGGGAGTCCCTGCTTTCACCTGTGGGTAATGCTTATAGAGTGAATTGCCGAAGAGGTTGGTTGAAGCTGGTATTGTAACAGCACACTGGAGGTAATTCAAATCAATTGCTGGAAGAGGGCGAAGTGAGTGACCACATAATAAAGGAGTGAAAATATGTCATTCAGCCCATTGGGTCTGCTTCGCCATTAAATTAGATCATGTATGATCTCAACTCCATTTTCCTGCCATATCCCCATAACCCTTGATCTCCTCACTGATTAAAAAACATGTCTGTCTCAGCCTTGATGTGGAGGTGCTGTTGGACTGGGGTGGACAAGGTCAAAAATCAGACAACAGGTTTATTTGAGACAACAAGGTGCAGGGCTGGATGAACACAGCAGGCCAAGCAGC